AAAAGCAATAAAAATATTTTTAAAAAAAACACTTTTGGCATCTCGTCATCTAAAGCAAACAAGACTTGAAAAAGTTGCTGTGGAAACTGATGCTTGTAGAAGCCAAAAGAACCAGCAAGACTATCCTACCAACTGACCAAAAGCAAAACCCCACTCTTTACTAGCACTGATGATGTTACCTAGCTTGGGTAATGAAACTTCTGCAAGAAAACAACCAAGCTCAGGGAGCATCAAGGTCTCCTCAGAATTGAAACCACTTATGCTGGACTGATTTTCTTGTTCAATAAGTCCCGCTTGATTCTTTTGATGGGAAAGATGATACTCTAGGACAGGGGTCTCCAACCTTGGCCACTTTTAAGACTTGTGGACTTCAATTACCAGAATTCTCCAGCCAGCCATGGTTGGAGACCCCTGATCTAGGGAGACCATTAGAGTGGAAGTTGCAGGTAAAGAATTTGACAATGTAGCAATTAAAATTGCAATGGGCTCGCACGGACTTGGTCGCATGCTGTCTTTAGCTTGTCAGCACATCCGAAGTTGTCTTTCTCATATTTCATGGCAAATGAGTGAGTTTTCAACGCATCATACTTGGAACTTTCAGAGACAGCATCAAAATGAACATTGTGCCAAAAATTTCTTCTCTCTTCCCAGTTCATTTGATGTGGAGATCAAATGTCTTCAATATATTTCCTTCAAAGGAGAAAAAATGTTGATAGGCAGTTTTTGCACATCTTGAGTTACGAAGTGGCTAATGAACAAAGTTCTTTTTTAAATTGTATAATCATATTCTATTGGTCTAGGGCAGGGGTCAGCAACCTTAAACACTCAAAGAGCCATTTGGACCCATTGCCCACAGAAAAGAAAACACCAGGAGCCACAAAATGCTTCCCATGCCTGACTATTTCCTGAGCGGCCATAGAACTAGCATATGTAGTTGAATTAAACATTCTGTTTTCTTCTGAAACTTTTTTCTTGGATTTATCCATGGTTGGCTTACCGGGGGTCGAAAAGCTCAATAAATTGGGTGCTGGCGAGTATCACACATTGGTGGTTGTAATATTTTGAGCAACAGGGAGCCGCAGCAGAGGGATGAAAGAGCCACATGTGACTCCAGAGCCGCAGGTTGCTGACCCCTGGTGTACGGCCTGACTGGATTCCTGCGTTTCAATTAAATCATAGGAATTTTTTCCTATGGGCTTTTTCACTTCATAAAGCTGTCCCCTGACACATATCCAGAATGGAAAGGAATTGGGATGTAGAAGGAAAAGCTACAGCTTCTACAACAATGTCAAATGCTAAAGCTCAAAAATACCAAAAGGCATCAGAAAGACTAGTGAAATGTACTGTGAGAATGATATAGCAAAACAGAAGCATCTTTCCTGTAGGAAGAAAATTTCCAGGACATTTTGGAGAGCAGATTTAATCCAGTATTCTTTCATCTTGCAGTCTGCACAGCCAAATTGATAGTGGTGCTTTCCCAACTTCGTAATAAAAGGTGAAACTGGCTATTTTCAATCACTGTTCAATCACTGACTCTGAGCCAAGTTTAAGACATTTTTTGTGAAATATTCTCATCATTGATATTCACTATTGATATATTGATATACTCAGTTGTTAATAATTTCCAACCATAAAACTATTGGACAAATTATTGATAAAATCTATTTGTTTCAGTAGTTATCATGTTTCTTAGATCGCAGCTATCCAAAGCCAAATCATGTTTTTCATTACTTAACTAAATCCTAAGAGTGTATAAATGTATTTGGGTTGATTTAATCAATCATGTAATAATTCAGATCCAGATTTCTACTAAGAGGATCTATCTAATGAGTGCTCAGGCTATATAATCATTGTGCAATGAAACCCAACTCTACAATAAACTTTTCCCGATACTGACTTTAAATGCTAGACACCCATCCTTGAATTGGCAAAAACTAGACTTGCCATATAGGACCATCCACAGAGGTCAATGGCAGATATAAAAAGTGGTGAAGTTTCAAGCACATAATTGCACACATCCCAATGTTATGGTAGATATCACTGACACCCTTCCCAGCAAATGTCCCTGCTGGTTTGTATCTTGCCTCAATTGTTTTTGTTCTGACTTACTGCAGAATGGCACTTCCTTGATCAGGGGCTAGCAAAAGGATTGATTCATTCTTCCAGCTTCTTCTTATTCCCAATCCACAACTGAGGCAGTTTAGTCTTTTCCAGAGCTTCTAGTTTTAAAGTAATGTTTTCCCTCTTATTCTGGCACAATTTGTGTTATGGACATATTTAGTTATTTGCCACATTTCAATCACTCATGTTTACTTATTCCAAAGCGGTAGCTCTTTTATCCTCTAAAAATCATTTAAATGGTTTCAGATTCCAAATTAACATTACTTTGTTTATAATGACACCTACTGGTCAGAAAAGCTAAAAAGAAATTTCTGCCTCCAGTTCATCAATCCTTTATTTTGAACTATCAATTTTTAGAGTAATGTTTGGGGAAAGCATGTTAAAGTCCTTATATAGTTAATTATTTTATTTTAATTTATTTTATTTATATACCTCCCATCTTGCTGTCCAAAGTGACTTATGCTGCATAGAAGATTGGAATTTCCAAAGCGGATAATATAAAAATTCTGGCATAAAGAATAGGGCTTGGACAAAATGTAAATGAAAATATGAATTTATCAATATCAATGAATGTTCATTTTAATGATACAATACTCTAGTCAATATTTGGTGTTTGTTGATAAGTTCTATTGATTAAACAGTACAGGTTTAACATCACTATCCTGAACAACAGTGATTATTGTTTCCACTGTGTTGTTTAACCAGCTAGTCCTGAGCTATTCCAAAGACTCAGTATCAAGCACCAACATCTAACTGGGGCATTAGGGAAGTTTGCAGCCAAGATGGCAACCACAGTGGTGTGATCAAAGCATCAACAATTTTTATGGCAAATATTTTGAGTTTGGGGACCATATTCCTTGTAGGGAAGCTAGGCTTGTATTGGACATCTTGTTGGCATCTTCCCAACAGCAAGTCATGAAGTTGTCATTTCCTGTCCTACTTGCTTTTTCTTCCCAAGCTAGGCTGGAAAACACACAAAGATTCACTGCCACACACACATAGTAGACACAGTGTAGGTATCATGCATATTTCCCTGATTCCACCTGTTTCTTTATTTTTAATTCCCCTTAAAACAAGGCGGTCAAACTCCTGGCCCTTGGGTCAGATGCATCACGCACTGGCCACACTCACATCTGGTTTAGTGAAGGGGAAAAAAAGTCCTGATATGTCACGTGACATCACCATGACGTGAGTTTGACACCTCTGCCTTAAAACAATGGATTGCCCTGAGAGACATGGTTTTCTACATTTTCTTGGCCTCAGAAAAGATTAATTGAACCATAGTCAGCATTTTTCCTGATGTAGAAGGAGTTAAGCCCCATGAATAGACTACATTATATTTTTGAGAGCTATATCTAATCCTCTTTTGGGTGTGTTGATTGGGCCCACTGACTGCCCTCTAACTTGAAAACTAAATAAACATGATTTGAGGAGAAGCCTCAAATCAAGGTTATCTATATTTATGGATCTTTATGCTAAAATAATCTCCATTACATTCAATGGGAACTTTTCAGGAAAACGTAACTAGACTAAAAGGCTGACTGTGGTTCAATTAATCTTGTTCTTAATTGTAAAATTACATTTAATCCCATTATAGTTTCAGATTGGATCTAGTTTCATATATTTTATTGCAATTGCTAAATTAAGAATAATTAGCCTATCTTTCCATATGTGAAAATTTAAGGATTTAAAAATATGTAAATTTGAAAGCATTTAAATGATTAGCTATTATTTGAAATAATTGTTAACACACTGTTAGAAGAAAACTTAATTTATTGTCAGTAAACTTTTCTTTAAAAAATATCTAACATAGGAGCATAGGCCAATACTGTTCATTTACTCCTTCTTGCCTTGATTCAAAATTACTGCTGACTCCTTAACAACGCTTTTATGAAATTATTTAAATAGCATGAAAATATTAAGATCCATAGTTTTTTTTAAATATGAAACAATGCCATTTCCAAACCATCATTCACAGCTTTATATACAAATACCCACCAATCAGCATACAGTTTATATAATTCAACAAACACATTTCAATCCAAACTTCACTTCTGAATGGAGGCAAAACCCTTGTTATCACTGATAATTTTTTTTTTAAAGAAACATGTTGCCATCATTATATTTGATTTTGATTTTTTAAAGTGTCTTGCTATTCTTGCTTTCTGGTCCAATTAGTTGAATAATTTCCTATTGAGTTTCTTTACACAGCAACAATTCCTAGGATGTTTTGAAAATAAACTATTAGAATCCCAGAGTGGAAGATTAAATCATTTAATCTTCTACCTACTTAGGTCATTTCATTCACAAACCCTTAACTATTTCTATTGAATCCTTATCACTCACACTTAACATGCTACACTACAATAGAATAACAGCATGAAGTTCATTCAGACCACAAAATGTAATATTAACTACAACTCAAAATAAGTCTGATTGATTATATTGTATTGCAATCCAATTACATATTACGTTATTAATTATATTCTTAATAAAAAGGGAGTGCCTTGCCTCTCTCACATAGTCAAACTGCCAAAAACCTATTATTTAAAATAGATGAATCAAATAATTGAACAAAAATATTGTATCATTAAAATAAACTTTATATCCTGATTGGATATAAGTATTTTAGTTCCTGTTCTATTTCTTCTTATCATCTCACTACTTATGCATACTTTGCATTTACTGTTATTTTATAAAAACCCCTAGGTTTTTATTTGGGATTTATAGGGGCAAGATTGTATATTGACATTGTCAGGAATCATAATAATGGTCTATTCTATTCTATTCTATTCTATTCTATTCTATTCTATTCTATTCCATTCCATTCCATTCTACCCTACCCTACCCCAACCCACCCTACCCTACCCTACCCTACCCTACCCTACTCTATCTACTTTACTTACAAATCTTTCCATCAAAATTCCTACAATTTAAAAATGAAAGCTTCAAATTAAAAAAAAAATAAGGGCAATATTTTAAATGGGTTTTGCATCCATAACAGTGTCAACTACTATAGCAAATTATCCTTCCTTTAATTTCTTCTTACTTCCCGCCCCCTTAAAGGCTGTGGTGGTCTGAAGTTTTTCAGCATGCAATAGGCATGCTCTCCTTCACCAGTACACAGGAGGTTGCGAAATTTGGCCAGCTGTGGATAAAAAAGGTACAAAATTCATCAAGAATGAATGCCAAAAATGCACTCCACATGCACATAATTTTCTTCTTGGTGACATATATTAGTATAAACCTGTGCTTTTTTTATGAGCAATTAGTTATAATTGAGCCCCACAAAGACATAACAACTGAACAACAACAAAGACAGAGTTAATGAATGACGACCTATTATGAAACAGTGCCTACATAATATTTGTAAACATAAGCTGAATGTATTTAATTTGTACTGTAACATTTAAGCACTTTAAGTATGTACAAGCCTCAAGCACACATTTACTATCTCACAATTTTGACAAGTCACCTAAATAAAATGGACCAAAATAGAATACAGCAGCTTATTATACTTGCACCTTAATGGTTAATATTGATTGATTAAATATGTCAATGCCAACTCTTATAAGTCACATAGATAGATTTTCTGTATTGACTGAGTGGTTAACATAGTTGGATTTTAAAAGGTGATCCATGTAGACTCCTGATATCAGAATATAAATCAATGCTGACTCTTATAAGCCACATAGTCATTGCCAACTCTTATAAGTCACATAGTTAGATTTTTTTTCTATTGACCGTGTGGTTAACATAGTTGGATTTTAATAGGTGATCCATGTAGACTCCTGATATCAGAATATAATAAACAGAAAACATTCATATGAGAACTCCTTTAAAAAGATATTTCAAATGGGAAAGTAAATATACCTGTTCAGAGCAAACACTTATAGGCTCCCTAAGGATGATCCAAATGACACTCTCAAGAAGGGGAGGGACTGTGAGAGACCCAAGGTATGTCCAGTAGTCCAGTGAACGAGGGAGAAGACAGGAAGGATCAAAATTGGTGAATCGGTGCTGGTTACCCTGAAGGAAAGAAGGAATTAGCAAATGTCCTCTTCAATCTCATTGTGTGGCATATAACTTCCACTGTTGATTCTTACTTCTTGACAGGCTTCCTGCTTCCAAAAGATACCTTTCCTTCTCCAGTTTTGCCTCCATGAGCATAGAGATCTTTAGATTTATCCTATGGTTGTTCTTACATAGCAGCATATCATTGTCAGCACTGTTTGCCCTTTCTCAAACTCTAATGTTTGGATTACCAGATCTGGGCTGCAAATATATGGACAATACTTAAAGGGCAGAATTAGCATTTTCTGTATCTTCTCTACTTCCATTTAAAGGTTTTGCACGTTTTGTTGCCAAAATCTGGCAGTTTTTAATGTTTCTAAAGGTAGTCCTCATTTAGGACTGCCTTGAACAGCAACTGTTTACCGCTAATGACAGTGATAAAAAAGTAACCATTTTGTGATTTATCACAGCATTTATGATCTTCACAGGTCTGTTAAGCAATGGAAAGCTGAAGTAAGATCATGAGCACAGTTGCAGTTTCACTTAGTGATGGCTTTGCTTAATAATGGAGTTGCCAGTCCCAACTGTGGCCGCTAAACAAGGACTATCTGTAAATACCAAGAGACCGTGTGCTTGTGAGAAGTTTAAAGCACTTTATTTGTATGGAGAACCGTAGAAATTATTGCACAGTATTCTATTAAAGCAGCTGAGGGGAACTGGAAAGAGAATATGTACATTTAGCATTTTGATTCATCATCTGTACTTATAGAGATTCTGTGTCTTCCACACTACCAGCAAAGGAATCATAACTCTGTGAATCAACAAAAAGTATAGACAGGTCTGCCATCTATTATCTAAAACAGTTTTTTAATAGTAAACCTTCCATTGCAATCCCAATATGAATATACAGAACTAGGACCTGATCTGCCTTACCTTCACTTTAATGGTATCCAGTTTGTCTGTGATTTTTTTGAGTTGTGAATTGCATTCACCCAACTGTAAATATAAATATAAGATCGTTTATTTGGCTGAGAGAAAATGAAGTTTTATTGATTTTAAACTTTATTTACTGGTTTTTATCATTAACTTTTGTCAGCAAAATGATTAACTGGAAAGTTGAAAAAGAAAGAAGAAATATATGCAATTAAGAAAATGTATTTTAAAAAATAAAGGGAATTCCAATGGTCAAAATGTCAAAATACGTAAGAAAAATAGGAGGTTTTATAGAAAGTTATTCTATAATTATGATCCTATTACTGAAGTTCAATTATGAATATGCAATCCACCTCACACTATCTGATATAAACTTTGCTAATTCCAGGAAGATATAGTTTTGAATAGATTTGCATGGGTTGTATGGTAGACCTCTGGAGATATTTTTTCTGGAGAACATCTTCTTAAAGGCTCTTCTGGTAAATGAGGATGCACATTCCCCAAAAGCAAACTGCATCTAGGAAGCTTTTGTTCCTTAGAAGTTTGAGAAAAATAGTTTTGCTCTCCATATAATATTTAATATATTTGTATGTACTAAAACATCACATAGATTCTTCAGGATATTTGTCGTAAGAAAAAAAATTCAAATATGAATAAGTATATATGGGGAGGGGATTCAAATCCCCAAGGTGATCCATTGTGTCCTCTGAAACTATTCCCAACTGTATTGCCAAATTTTAATTTCTCAACATTTGGAGACAGGAAGTAGTAAAAAAAAAAGTAGGGTAAATATAAAATAAATAGGCTTGTTTTTTAAAAGGAGAAAATTCCATCTTCCCCAAATAAAACCAGAAAAAAAAATTACCCATCCACTTGGGATCATTGAATTCTTGAAGTATGAGAGCCTATAATTGACTCCAGCACCCAAATTGGTGAAAGTCACCCCCCCCCTCCCCGGAAGCCATTATGCCTAGCTTCCAACCACTTTTCAAACCTCTAAAGTGTTCCTCGCCCTGTCAGACAAAATTATGTGCTTCCCACATTTGAAATGAAAGAATGTCATTTTATTTCCTTACTTTTAAGAAAACAGCCATGACTGCTAACCCATCAGGTTGCTGAGCAGCTTCAACGAAGCTGGGGTATTTATCTGCATTCCAATGCACCACATGAAGCTGAAAAGCAAGAAAACAAGTACAATTAATCATCACTTTATGAAGTTAGCCAGGAGTTTGTAACATATGATGGAATATTGGGAGCTAAGTCATTGGGTTTTTTTTTTTACAAGTAGCCAAAAGCCATCTTGATGCATGTAGTCCTTTGGAAGCTCCACACGCGTTGGTCCAAAGTTCTGAAGATCCATTCTAGCCAGTCCTAGTTTGGGGCATGTTTATAAAAATGATAAGAATCTGTGGCAGATCCTCATGCCACTCCCTCCCACCAGCTGTGTTCCCACCCTCATTTTTCTTTCACAAATCCTCAGATTCACACACACTGGATCAAGGGCTTTAACATCCTTGCGGGAAAGCTGCTTTGTAGGTGCAAAGTATTATTATGAATAACATCTAGAAGTTCTAATGGCTCAGTTCACTTAATCTAGATTCTTAAGGTGTCAACACTCACATACTTTAAAAAGCTAGACAATCTATCTCCTGAAATATTGTGAACATTTTACAAAGAGGAAACCAATGCTTTCAACAGGAATGGCTTTTATTGTAGATTAATGAAAAATAACAAACAAGAAAGGACACGAGAAAATCCTGAAACACTGTGGGGGAGGCCCATCCCAATGGCCCGTGGCTTCTCTTTTAAAGGATGTATGTACTGTATCTTGTCTTACCACCGCTCTTGAACCACAGCTTGTTGGAGAAATCTTTTAAGGCCTGTTTCTTTTATGCATCATCCTCAGCAGTCCTGTACCGCAGCCTGTTGGAAACACCTGGGTCCAGGAGATAGGCTGCCTCAGATTAATAGGACTTTGGATCCACAGAGATCATCTGCCAGAGGAACAGTGTTGTCTTCTGCTTGCAGAGCAGCTCTTTCTTCCAGCATGTGCCAATTTGGCAGAGGTGCATTCTTGAGCCAAAGAGCCTTTTCTTCCTGGATCTCAACACCGTACGTCTGTTCACTGATCTTTTGGGCATGTCTCCAACCATATGATCAGCCTGACACTCTCTCAAATCTAGGGTCTTTTTCCCCAAAAAAATCAGTAGGGTTTCTAGTGGGTTCTTGATAATCAGCAGAGGGAAAACTTTTTAAACTGACTAAACATTCCTAAATATTTTCTCCTTCCATTTGGTTTCTTAGATGGAACTTATTTCTTTCCAGCTATATATCTGTTTTCTAAGCACCTCTTATTAATTCGTTATATTCCATCTCACCTGGTTCCTGTGAAAAACATAAGTCTTTAAACACTGCAAATGTTATTTCCCCCCACTGATTTTCCCCCATTAATTTTAGGCATTTTTCTATCTTCCTTTATTTTATCAAGGAAATTATTTCTGTGAATCTTCAGTTCCTTGCATTACAGTACTGACAAACATGTGCTTCTATTTCAAACTACTATTCCATTTCAGAAATATATATATATATATAAAAAAACCACCACAGAAAAGTGTCCCTCTTAATGTTAGTTAACGAGAAGCAATTTATACTTTTTGAGGACTTCATGTTGAGAAAAGCAATCATTGGAAATGTTAATGTATTAGTAATGCCTTTTCCATTTAGCATTTTTGCAATTCCATTTCAACATTGAAAACACATTAAAATAAATTGGCAGAGATTGTAACTAGACTATACTTTTTATCTGAGAGAATTGTTACAGTATTATAAAAACAGAACATTTACAGTGTTTGAATTTGGTTCCACACAGATATACCTCACTTCATCTCCACCCAGCATGGTCTCAAGCCCATCCAGTACACCAATAAATCAGCCAACAGGGAAATAGTGTGGTTTCCCTTGGTTTTTTGAAAACATCAACAGAAAGCATTTTAGTCTGTTTTACTAAGAGTTTTACTCTCTCTGAAGCAAATACTGTGGAAAAATATAAAAGGGAAGGCTTAGTAACTACAGGTTAGGCATTCCCAAATGTTTAATTGACCTTCATTCTCCTCCAGCAAGTTTATGCTGGTTAAGCAACTTAGTAAAATGTAAGGCAGGGGTGGGTTCTACTTACCTTTACTACCGGTTCGCAGCGGGGCCGCGTGCGCGCTCTTCTGTGCATGCGCAGAAGCTTCTGCACATGCGCAGAAGCTTTTTGATGATGTCGGGGTTGGTGGGCGGAGCCTCCCGCCGGTTTTACTACCGGTTCTATAGAACCGGTGCAAACCGGGGGCAACCCACCACTGATGTAAGGTCAATTTGAGATCAGTACATACTTCCCGTGTGCTGAGAAGTGAAGTAAAAAGGAGGAAAGCAGAAAATTATTAAACCTAATGGAAATCTTGGAATTTAAATGCTGAGTCAATTCCTATTATTTCAAAGCCTCTTCTGATGCTAGTTATATTTTCAATGAACAAGAAAGTTTTACAGTAGTTATTCCCAAAGAAGGAAATGATATGCAATATAGCATGGGTGTCAAACTTGCGGCATCATGTTTCTGTCACATGTCGTTTCGTGATGTTTCTTCCCTTTGCGGAGTTGGGGTGGGCGCGGCCTATGCATGATGCATCTGGCTCGCAGGCCGCCAGTTTGACACCCCTGCAATATAGTTTTATTTTATTTGTTCTGATGTTCATCAATATGAACCCAAAGAGCTGATTAATTCTGGGGCCTCCATGTTTTACACTACAGTTTTACCATGTCACTAGACAGTGAACACTGGAATATTTTAAAGGAAGATTTGTATCCATAGCAGTTATGTCTGAGAGGTCAGAATATTGGCTAACTCCCCATATTTGTCCACCTGTTTGCAAAAAGGTACATTCCTTTAAAAATTTCAGTGTCCACAGACATGTGGCAAGTTGGGAAAATAAATCTACAATGGGCTACAGATGCACTAGTAGCATAATAGCTAATAAAAACATATTGTGCAATATACATAAATGAAAGAATATGGAAATGTTACTGAGAACACACCAAAAACACTTTCCACAGCAACCAGAAATAATCAAAAGCACAGGTTTTAATTAAAGAAAACCCCACTGATGTGCATTTCTAAGTAGATGTGATTGGGAATAATTCCCATGGAAGTACATGGAATTTACTACCAAGGATATGATCAGTATTCAAGATATAGTAAAAATGTCCCGGCCAGGTTAGTTTTAAATTATAAAATTTACTTATTAGGAACTAAAAATTTTCCAACTAAATAATAAAATTCTCATCTACCATTACATTTTCCTGCCTGAATTTGACCAACTACATTTTTGGTTGGCCAATATCACTAAACACATGCACCAAACACATGCAAATATAGTAAAATTTACCACTGAAAATTAATAATTTTTACTGCTGAAATCACACCAGTCATCTCAGAAAGGACAGTTTTAATTATGCTGCAAAAATAAATCCTGTTGCTTCAGAACAGATCAGAGGAGTACTTTACCTCTGCTGGGAATTTTGCTCCATCCACGGCATGTTCAGAACCAATGTTATCATTGGACCCCCAGTGGAAGTGGATTTGTCGCAGCCTATAATTTCCAGTGAGTGGACCCCCACTTAGCACTGTAAAAAATAACAATGATTCTTATTGTTAAACAGAGGGTTGGAAACTTTTAATGTTTAAGCATATTTTCAGACTACTTGAAGGCCAACACAAAATTGATGTAAAAAACACTGATGGGATCTCTCAATGTTAAATAATAGCTGGAAGTTCCAGCTTAGCACTAGAGCAGTGATGGGTTTCAAAAAAATTTTTCTACCAGTTCTGTGGATGTGGCTTGGTGGGCATGGCATGGCATGGCTTGGTGGGCGTGGCAGGGGAAGGATACTGTAAAATCTCCATTCCCACCTCACTCCAGGGGAAGGGTACTGTAAAATACCCATTTCCTCCCGATCAGCTGGGACTCGGAAAGCAGAGAATAGATGGGGGTGGGGCCAGTCAGAATTTTTACTACCAGTTCTCCGAACTACTCAAAATTTCCACTACCTGTTCTCCAGAACTGGTCAGAACCTGCTGAAACCCACCTCTGCACTAAAGGTCTGGCATCTCCCCTACATGCTTTTTTTCTGGTTCTAAATAACTGTCCTGAAAATTGCTATTCACTCTACAAAAGAAAAAGAAGGCAAGCAAAAAACTCTTCTTTTTCACAAAGAAAATGTGAACTGTTCCCATGAAATGAGAGCAACATAAAACTAACAATGCCAAAGATGAGAGAAAGCAGTGTTTGAGAAAGGAATTTAGCCCACTTTGAATAGGGCATTTAGGAAGCTATCCAACTTTCTGCACCCAATCAGATAAAATCATATTCAAGAAAGATGTGGACAGCTCATTTGAATACAAATATATTTAGAAAATTACAACTAACTGAAAGTCCCTCAAATGATAAGGTAAAAGGATCTTCTCTAGAGAATAGCTGCCTTATCATTTAGATACAATTAGTTATAGAGCATTAAATCAGGCCTTGATTTACTAGAAAACAAACCTGATTTATTCTCAGTGTCATCAAATTCCACACTGGTGGAATGTCCATTATTGAGTATGACTTTAGCAGAGGAAGGATCATATCTGGGGCTGAGAGGAAGCAGGGAGGGGTCGTATTTAGTCTCTTCGGTATGAATATCAATGGGAGATTGCCGGTCTCCATCAGCAATGGGGAAAATTTCCTTCCAGTGAGTAGGTCCTAGAATAGATTACCATAAAAACACTGTTTACAGAATATCATTTGGTATAGTCAGACAAAGAAATTGTCATATAAGAAAATGCACAAGAACCTACCTGGATTTTCTTATTTTTCTTTTTTTTTAAAAAAATAAAATAATTAAAAATAGTTGGATTTAAAGGGATGGAATATATACCACCCCATCATCTTTGGAGGGCTGAAAGACAGCCCTCTACACAAATATCTTAATTCTAATGAATTGAATACCCAAGGATGCAGGTTAGAACACTAGAGTTGTTCATTTTCTGCCTACTTCCAGGCATTCTGGTCATTAGGAATGCAGCAAACACCTGAAATTAACACACATGCAATAGATTCAGAGAACATTTACCCATCAGATGATTTAATCTGTCATTCACACAACTATAATGCTTTACTTTGGTTCAATAACATAGAAAGTGCTTTATTCAGAGACAGAGATTAATAATGGTTCATCGAAGTTTCAGATAAGGTTGAAGAAGATGCTCTGCCTAGTTAGGAAGCCCACATATTGATCTCCAGACTTGACATAGTATGGTCACTTTGAAAAGAGAATACTTCATCATCACAAAAGAACTGATATGCAATACAGCAAGACAGAATTGCGGTGATAGACTACACTATATCACTTAGAACTATATATGGGAAATACTAACAACAGTTTTAAAAATTGCATTCTCATTAGTACATACAGTTTATATATTTATTTCAAATGTAGAAGGTGATTTCTTAACATTGCCATCAGAACTTGTATTGCCTGCATTTGCCCCCTAAAATACCTGAGTACTTATTCCAAAACAACCAGGTCTCAGTCTACCAGTCATTATCATATGTGCAAAATCAGAATTATGAGTTATGAACATATTTCTTAACCCAGGAGTTAAATTTTAGAAGTGGCAAATTTCACAAACACCAATTTAGGGCAGAACAGAAAATAAAACCAAAATACTCAGCATATTTACTGCACTTGTTATCCTAGTTTAATTTTTCCAGCTTTCTTCAAAAGAAATGAAAGAATTATAAGGTAGTAAAAATGTTAGGCATTTTGCTGTTATGATAAACAAAAAAGCATTATAAAACAGTAGTTGTACAATCCTTGGGAAAACAGAGAGATATCTGTCAGTTACATAATAGAGGCAAACTATTGGTCAGCTATTGATCCTAATAATATTTTGAGTAACTGGCATTTAGATCAGCTTTACACACTAGCCATAATATGAAATGTTATTTAAGAATATCAAGGCTACCAAGCGAATGGCAGCCTTGCTTACTCTGAAGTAGCCTGCCCAGGCTGATTGACATTAATGGGAATTTTAGGAAGTGTAATCTCAACACAAATGAAGAGCAATAGGTTGTGAAATAGTGGTTGCTATTCTTTTTCATTCAGTGAAGAATTCTGCATTGGGAAAGGAGTAACAGAAAATGCTTCTGTTATTTCGGTCGTCAGAAATGCTTTTAGCCAAACTTGGAATTTGGTGAGATTTTACATTACAGTTGTCAGTTGATAAATCATTTGTAACCTATTTTACATGTACTATGATCTGTATTTGCATAATTACCTCTGTACACATACACACACACACACACACACACACACACACACACACACTTTCCTCCAGTGCCTTATTCTGATTTTATTGCAACACCAATAAGTCACACAAACTTTGAATTTGGTTTAAGTTCAGATCTCCTTCAGCAGGAATGCAAAATCAGTTTGCCATTATGCCCTTGGGGGTGGTACCAAAAATTTCTCTTTTTTTCATTATTAAGAGATAAAATTTATTTATTTATTTATTTATTATATTTCTATACCGTCTTTCTCCGTAGGACTCAAGGCAGTGTACAGTCAAGAAAAATATAGACACACAAACATCATAAAATTGCTAATTAAAATTATTACTTAGTTTGGTCAATTAAAATGACTGATTAGGGAATGGATTTCAGCACTTAAAAATCCTAACACCGCATGCAGTGTGCCCCAAATAGAGTCTGGTCCTACCTACTTTGGAGTTAAGTTCTTGAAATGCTATATAGCGTGTAATACAATTCTTAAACCAAGAAAAAAAATGTACTCATCCTACATATTTTCTCTACTTCCTTGAAATTGTTCGTAATATTTTCTGGAAATGTCTGAAAATCAGTTTTTAATTAATCTACTATCTTAAGTGTTCAAAGCAAGATTTCTATCTAACCACAAGATTCCTTCACAGAATTTTAATCACAAGGGATTCTGTTTGATTTGTCAAATATTGATAGAGAAGAAATTATGAAATCCTGAAACCTATGTTTTGTATTTCCTAACACAGAAAATCCAATTCATGCTTAGCATTTTATATTACTCTGGTCAGAATCCATCAGCAATATCATCCAAAAATTATTCAAAATTCTTCATCAAGATTTTAGTAAGATACATGAGATGGAGAGATTATTGGCTTGCCTAAAGTCCTTTAGTCTAATAAAATAGTATCTTAACCTTAAGCTTCCAATTCTGGAGAAAAAAAAATACATTATCACGTTCGTTATCACCTCTTTGCACACCATCTGTTTTACGTCAACCATATTTCTGCCCCACCAAGATTATGTTTTGCACTGTTTCATATCATATATGCAATGTCAAACTGTACTTCTAAAATGAGTCAGCTATATCATTTTTCATTCCTGAAAGATCATTTATATCATTTAATATTTATCATTCAGTATCCAAAAACATATACAAAATCTTAATGTGCTGATTGCTTAAGTAACTTTATGCTTGCATAGGTATATCAAATAAGGAATAGACAACCTCTGCTCACCAAATACTTTAAATTTACTAAATCTTAAATGCTGATTTAGAGGGCAATCCTATGCAGATTTTATTCAAGAGCAATTTCCATTGTGTTTACTAAAAGTGATAATAGGAATGATTTACCACAAACTTTTTAATTCAATGAAAGCATGAAGTTATTAATGTAACCCATTATTCTGGGTAATTACAATGAGAATGTAAGAATAATTTATTCACCAGAATAAATGTGAATCGAAAAATGTAAGAAGTTATTATTTGTATGGGCTAATAATATAAATCTTCCTTCCAATAAATAGCCACATCCTAAATAATACAAAACATCTAAGTACAGGAAATTAATGTGGAACTTCAAAAAGTGCTTTGTGTGTTTGTTTGATCACAACAACACAACTGGAGTCACTGATGATAAAAAGACAAAGTTTTACAAAGCTTTGATATTGTTAGGTTCTCAAACCTAGGAACTACACCGTTTTAAAAGTGGAGCCCCCACTGATAGTGGAAACAAATTAAGATTGACATGTTAATTGTTGGATATTCTTGATATGCATCAACTACTTAGTCCGTCAAAGCAGTATCCCTTACATGTAACACCCAGCCTTCTAGTAACCTTTTTTTGAAGTTCTTCCTTATGAAGCAGGACACAAAGTTCTGGAGGATTATCTTTAATACTTTGCTTCCTAAACGGACGTCTGTTGTATCATCGAGATTAGACAACAGCATCCCAAACTGAAGTCTTTCATTATCTGTATTACTGTGGTATGTACACATCCAGTAAGACATGGTACATTTTAAAAAGTCTTCCTAAATCCGTTACTAAATCCTGTCTATCACAGGCAGCATAAGAGTACACAAAATCAGAGTTATTCTAAACTCATCAGCAAAACACTTGGGAACTTAGAACCCCTCAATATATATATATATTATATTAAAGGGGTCTTTACAGAAGGAGCATTTGAGAATATTAATATATTAATATCAGAATAATTTAATAAATGTTCCAATAATCTTTCATTTATTCGTTCCACATTGTTCAAAATCACTTTCAGGTTCAACAGGTCCAACTGGACGATATATTTATTTGCTGTGCTTATAACATAGAAAAAACTAAAAAGCAGTATTGACGATAATATGCATTTCTCTTTTGAAATCCAACATGAACAGAATTCATGTGTGACATTTAAGAATTGGACCTGAACAGGACCTGTACTAAAATGAAATTTTAAGTATCTCTGTGAACTCAGTTTAATATTTTTCCTGCCCTGATATTAATTTTAATGTAATAGATCCAGAAGCTCAGAGATAGAACAGAAACATAGAATGGTTCGTGCAAATCACGAACCTTGAGATTTAATCCAAAAATCATTAATACAACTCTTTATTGAAGAATAATATATATTGTGATTCTTAACATTACATATAGCAAAAAAGAATCAAAATATGGGATAACAATAAATTGCCTTATCTCACTTAGCATATCTTAAATGCTCCAAACCATTCATGCAGACAATATGATGCTGTTTCTTTGTCTTATTAGGAACAATAGAGTAAGGGCAATTTTAAAAAATCAAGATTTTTTATCTTTCTTTAATATTGGAGCAATTTAAGGTAACTTGTGATTTACTGTTTCCACAGATCCTTGGAGATCGCTGATGAACATTCTTTTTTTCTCCAAAATTATGGCTAAATAGAAAAGAATTAGATAGCTGAGTATGAAAAATAATTTGTTATGCAATATCCTTTTAAAACACATTTTTACATTTTGGTCTAACTTTGCAGCTTCAAATTTATGATCAAGAAATTTCATTTAATCTCTAAAGATATCCAGACTCAGACAAAATGTACTCTAATTGACGAAAAGTAATGCACCTATGCCTCTACAAATTTTTTAGAAATTTGGCTTCCAAAGGAATATAACAGAGGGAGGGAGGGAGAAAGAGAAAGAGAGAGAGACAGAAAAAAAGAGAGTGAGACAGAAAGAGAGGGAGGGAGGGAGGGAGAGAAAGAGGAGCAAGGGGGAGAGAGAGGGAGAGAGAGAGAGAGAGAGAAAGGGAGGAAGGAAAGAGGGAAAGAAAGGAAGAAAGAAAGAGGGAAAGAGAGAGAGAGAGAGAAAGGGAGGAAGGAAAGAGGGAAAGAAAGAGGGAAAGAGAGAGAGAGAGAAAGCAAGGAAGGAGGAAAGAAAGGAAGAAAGAAAGAGGGAAAGAGAGAGAGAGAGAGAGAGAAAGGAAGGAGGAAAGGAAGGAAGGAAGGAAGAGAAAGAAAGAAAGAAAGAAAGAAAGAAAGAAAGAAAGAAAGAAAGAAATGTTCTTTTCGCGGTTGTAATAAATTCCATGGGTACTTTTTTGGAAGTAAACCCCGTCTCGTTGGAAAACAGGCGTGCTCCCAAGAAAACACGCGAAATGTAAGAGAGAGAGGTCGCACGTCTAGTGGAAGAGGCTCGAAGGCGCAAAGGCCTAGGAAGGAAGCCCTCCTACCTTCTCCCATCCCAACAGGAGGAAAGAAGTGGGCATGTGAGGAGGGTGGTGGTGGTGGCGGTGACCTCCAGCGGGAGCAGAGCCTCTCCTGGCCCTCGGGCACAGTCTCCCGACAGCCCACCCCCTGCACCTAATTCCCCCAGAGAGCCACCGGCTCTCCTTCTCACCGTTGTCTTCCTCGTATCCCCAGTGTAACATGACTTTAGTCTGCTTAACGGGATGGAGGCGATGGAGGCGTTGCAAAGAGGCGAATACCCGTCTCGGTGTCAAAAGGGGGGCAGACCAGCGGCGGCGGCGGCGGCAGGAGGAGGAGGAGGAGGAGGACGACGACGATTCTCCCCGGGGTGAGAAGCTGGAGCCCAGCAGAGCCCCGCTACGCCCTTTTATCTTCCTCGTGCCAGCCGTCGCTGCGCCCCCCCCTTTGGCCTCCAGGTGGGCCGGTCAGCGAGCGGCCCCCATTCGGGCAACGTCACTTGGGAAGGAGTTACGCGGCTCGGGGAAGGAAGGCACCTCAGGCTACACGGTTTACGCGGGTGCTGCGTTCGGGGGCTCAATTCTTCAGACGCGCTCTTTTCCAAAAGCGGGGGGGGGGGGGGTCCTTTAGATAGCCTTTTTTATTATTATTTATTTATCAAACTTAGATACCGCCCATCTCGCTCCTTGAGCGAGTGAGCATTTGCATCGCAGCATCTAAAACAACTGCGTGTTAAGGAAAAGTGCGATGCAAACCTTCGGAATCAGATCGGGATTGTGCCGGGACTTCTGGAGAGAGGAGCTCCCAGGGACCTAAAAGAAAAACAAAGTGATTGAAGGATTCTTTTCTTGCAAAATCCCAAGAAATCAATACAAATAGTACTCGACTTAATAACAGTTGGTTTAGTGATTGTTTGAAGTTAAATGTCACTGAAAAAAGTGACTTATGACCAATTTTTCACACTTAACGACCATTGCAACATCCCCATGGTCAGGTGATTTACAATTGGATGCTTGAAAATTGGTTTGTATTTATGATGATTATGAGTGTCCTGGGTTGCGAAGCAAAGTCTTTTGCGACCTTCTGACAAGCAAAATCAAGGGGGAAGCCGGATTCACTTAACAATCATATTTAACAATCATAATTTAAAAGCTGCAGTGATTCAGTTAACCAATGTGGCAAGAAAAGTGGTAAAATGGAGCAAAATTCACGTAACAAATTTTTCACTTAGCAACCTAAATTCTGGGCTCAATTGTGGTCATAAGTCGAGGACTACCTATACTTACAAACCTCCTTTTCCCACATTGGGCTTCTCCATCTTTGTTAGATTACAATAGACTACAACTCCCATCACTTTGGCCAACTAGGAATAACCAAAGGGAGACCACCAGGTTGGGGAAGGTAAGGCTGATGCAGACCAAACTACTGTTGGTCTACAGAAAACTACAGTTTTCTCCTCTTTCCTCACAAATGTCACTGAATTGTCTACATTTCATCTCTATAGCTGGCAAGAACTCCCAAACTCCCAACCAATGCATAATTATATCGGTATCCCATGACAGGCTTTATAGAAATCAACACAGGCAGGGATTCCATTTTAAGTAGTGCACCCAGTTTGGTCGAGATGAGGTAAACCAAAACCTTCAACTCTCCTTCCCCAACTTTTCTTCTTCTGCCTTTACTCTTCCTACTTGCGGCAGCTGTCAGTTCTAGCTAGGAACAAATTATAAGTCTTATTTTAATAGGACTTTTAAAGCGGATTTATTTTTGCCAGAGTTTATGGTGTACTTGTCACTTGCAGTTGAGATCTTTTTTTCTGCTTCTATAAATCAATTTTTACACAAAAGCTGGATGTTGACAATATTTATTTCATCTCCTTTGCAATAGGTGCACCATTACCCCTACTGATCCTTTCTGTTTAGAAAATGAGAACATTGATTAGATTGTACGTCTGATGTAGCTTGTGGACAATGTTTGCAGCTAGTTTGTTAGATTATGTAATATCCATGTGCACATATAATATACTGCACAACATTGCAAATAGTTTTATATTTGCCTATCTGGATTAAGAAAGATATGTTCTCATGCATACATATTATGTTTTATGTTTTTATTTTTTATTAAATTTGTATACCACCCTACTCCCGAAGGACTCAGGGCGGTGAACAGGCACAGAATAAAATACAGAAATACAAAAGTTAGAAAGAATTTAAAACCAAATTAAATAATTTAGCCCAAGACAATTAAAAATCCCAATAATTTAAAACAAATTAAAATTTCAGTTTAAAAATTTAAAAGAAAGGGGAGAAAATTAGGCCAGGCCAGCTTGCTGGAATAGGAGGGTCTTAAGAGCAAGGCGGAAAGTGCACAGATCTGGGATCCTCCGTATCTCCGGGGGGAGGTTGTTCCAGATAGTGGGTGCCCCACTATTATATATTGTTCTACAATCTACATGAAGGTTTGGCACCAATTCTGTTTGGAAATATGGTTGTGTATGAACTGCAATCATTTGCCAGTTGAAAGTGATTTACAAAGATCATCCAGTCGACTTTAAACTTCTATTCTAAATGGAGTTTTCTTCCTGCAATCTCTCTAGTTCAGACAAAACTGTTATGCAGCAGGTGCTGAGTAGCTCTTGCTGATCGAACAGCTTGCATTGTGTATGCATGAAATGGACACAGTCAACCAGAGGTTTATTGCTGGCTGTTGTTTTATCTCCTCCACAGTTCCAAGACAGCTAGAGAGATATGATTGTTAAGAATACAGATAGAAAAGCATAAAAGGGACATATGAGAATGATAAGATAATGTGCAAAATATTGGCCGGAGAGATAAACAGACTAGTCCGCTCCCTTTCGTTTTAATATTCCAACTGGTGCTACAATAGGAAACCGGGGTTGACCAAACAATCTTGAAATACCAGAATTGCTTATTTCAGTGTTAAATCTTAATGCAGTTTCTTTGATTTTGGCATTGTGTAATACATGATTTCACTCATTTTATACTTTGTACTACCATTATCAGACCATAGCTCAACATGTCTCTAAAACCCTCGCTTAGTATGTGTAGTGGATGAATCTCACTAGTACAGGATACCTTGACTTTATTTATTTATTATTTGGATTTATATGCCGCCCTATCTCCAAAAGGACTCAGGGCGGCTCACAACAATAAAACACACAAAGTCCAATCCTTCCTTTAAAAATACCCAATAAAACTATAAAAACCATTAAAATCAATTATGGCCGTAATTGAGCCCAACACTTCTGTTGTTAAGTGAGATGTTTGTTAAGTTAGTTTTGCCCCATTTTACGACTTTCTTGCCTCAGTTGTTAAGTGAATCACTGCAGTTTATTTATTTATTTATTTATTGGTTCGATTTATATGCCGCCCTTCTCCGGAGACTCAGGGTGGCTTACAATGCGTTAAAGCAATAGCCTTCATACTTTTGTATATACCTGCTTAGTAGGGCTTTCACCGCCTCCTCCAAGCGGTGTGAAAGTCAGCTTATTGCCCCCACAATCCAGGTCCTCATTTTACCTACCTCGGAAGGATGGAAGGCTGAGTCAACCTTGAGCCTGGTGAGATTTGAACTTGCAGTAATTGCAGGCAGCTGGTGTTACAGTTGATAAGTTAGTAACCTGGTTGTTAAGTGAATCTGACTTCTCCATTGACTTTGCTTGACAGAAGGTCGCAAAAGGGGATCACATGACCTTGAGACACAGCAACCGTCATAAATATGAACCTGCTGCCAAGCATCTGAATATTGATCACCGGACCATGGGGATGCTGCAAAGGTCATAATTCTGGAAATGGTCATAAATCACTTTTTTCAGTGCCGTTATAACTTTGAACAGTCACTAAACTACTGTTGTAAGGCGAGGACTGTATTGTGCAACACTATTTAATATATGCATGTCTTCTTAAAGTAAAACACCTAAAACGCCCTGGCCTGATTTCAATTTTAAAATCAGAAGGAGTCTGATAACACCTTTTCAGATTAACAAATTGTCTGAGAAGTCATAAGCTTTTATGAGCCATAGGTCACTTTATCAGATGCAATGTCGTGACTAGACTGATGTGGTGTAGGATTTAAATTGGGATAAGGTGAGTGGGAGGAGAAGGAGGCAGAAGGTAGAGTGGTTATGCAGGCACAGGTTACACATAAAATTATAAGTACCTGATTAATTGTAATATGTTAAAAACGCATGTATGTTGAGAATTCTTTTTTGCTTGTTTGTGTAGGAAAACCCAATTTAGCTTTATTTCAAATGCTTTGGCATATATAATTATGTTAAAGCAATTGTCTTATTGACAGCTTGCAGTCTGTTGAATGAACTAAATCCTTAAAGGCTAGGAATGCGTTTCTTTTGTACATAATTCGCTTCATGGAATCCAAGGGCCACTAACTCTAGGATTCTGTTCTCTTGGGATGGTAATAAAAAAAGAAAAAAGCCTGGGACATCCTCATGCTTCACTCCCAGAGGCAGGGCCGGATTTAGATGAAAAGAGGCCCTAGGCTATTCCACTTATGAGGCCCTTTCACCTATAGTGAAAATGTAATTTTAATTTTGCTAACAATTTGAATGTAGGCCCCTCTTGATCTTGAGGCCCTAGGCTGAAGCCTAGTTAGCCTATAGGAAAATCCAGCCTTGCCTAGAGGGACCTTCCTAAATGAAGCTCTACTTCATGCTAAAATCAGGAGAGGGGAGAGCAGTTCTGGCTGTAGTGGTTTATCCTAGGCTTGTGATCAATTGCCATGTGATCCCTTAAATCTTTGATCTTGCACTTCTCTCCTGTTACCAGTGAGAGTTGTAGGAGAAATACATCTGAAAGCTGTGCTTGCTTTCAGCTGCTCCTTTTCTTCTATTATCACAAGGGGTCCCACTGTCACACTGGAGATCTTCGAAAGATGACAATTTCTTTGAGAGCGACAGCAGGAGTACGATGCTTAAATAAGATGATCTTAGCAGAGTAGGTGGTCTTTTAGTGGAAGAGAATAAGGAAAAATAACCATAACTGGCCCAAGTATTTGGTGAGCAGACAAGAAGGCATTCAGGGTAGCTAGGAGGTGTTTCATCCAGGTCAAGAATTCAGGATCTTTATTCTTCTGTCTCAGTGCTCTTGAATTTCTTCCACAACAGAGTCCTAAATTCTGCTTCATGCCCGAAATATTTTGAAGTAAGTGAGATTTTACCACATTACAGTTGTTAGTTGATAAGTCATTTGTAACCTAGTTTACATGTCCTGTGACATAAATCTGCAAAATTATCTGTCCCCTCCCCACACGCACACTTTCCTCCTCTGCCTTATCCCGATTTTAATGCAACACCAACATCTGACAAAGTGAGCTGTCACTCACAAAAACTTTGCTTTTTAATTCCATTAATTATACAGTTCTGAACAGTCATTACCAAACTTCTGATTTTTGGTTAACATAGACTAATGCAACTATCCTCTTAACAATGTCCATGGATTTTAGATTCTCTGTCAAAATCTTCCCTTAAGTGGTTATGTAAATTACCTTTTAAATACAGATAGCAAATGCCACAAATAAAATCATGTATTTTAAAAAGAGGAAGTTTAGAGAGCCAGTTTGGTCTAGGGCAGAGGTTGGCAACCTTAAATCCTCAAAGAGCCACAAAGGTCCTAATCGGAAGCCCCCCGTTCAATTCTGGAGCCGACCAGAAGTCCCGTTCCCCCACCATAGAGTCTCTTCCTAGTGCGGTGTCCTTTTTCGTCTACTTGTCCTAACCAAAAACCCTATCAATTGTGGAGCCGACCAGAAAACCCGCCTCTTGCCATAGAGTCTCCTCCTGGCACACTATGTTTCCCCCTCCCCTTAACTGGAAGCTCCTCTCCAAATTGGGGCACTGACCAGCGACAGGGAGCTGCAGCAGAGGGATGAAAGAGCCACATGGCGGCTCCAGAGCCACGGGTTGCTGACCCCTGGTTTAGGGATTAAGGCATTAGTCTAGAAACCAGGAGAATTCCAATCTCTCTCTCAGCCCAGTTCACCTTATAGGTTTGTTGTTCTTGGGAAAAATGGGAGGAGAAAGGTATATTTGCAGCTTTATTTATAAAATAATAAATGCAGGATAAAAATTAATTAAAAATTAAATAAAAAGAGAGTTAGTTGGGCCAGTGGTTAAGCAGCCAGACTGGAAACTAGGAGGTGGTGAGTTCTAGCTCACCTTAGACATGAAACCAACTGGGTGACCTTGGGCTAGTTTTTCTGCTCTAAATATAAGACATTAACAAGACACTTCTGAAATCTCATTAAGAAAATAGCAGGGAAAATAACACACTGCTGTACTTGAGGACTGAGATGACAAAGCAGACTGAGGATAGAGGACATAGGACAGCTTTTTGCATACTTTTTAAAAATACATTTCCAACATATAGAAACTAGCATGATAAGGAATGAGAGCATGTTTCTTGTTTGCAAAGTTTTGATGTATTTAAATGTGCCATTCCTTGCCTGCAGTCTAAATTAATATTCAGTTCTTTTATCAGCTGATTCCACAGCACATCTTGACTCAGACTATTATAACTAAATTGGATCCTCATTTATGGCACAATGCAATGGAATATCAGTCCTCTCCTCACTTATAAGGCAGCAGTGGGGAAAACTGAATGTCTTACTGCCCTATTTGTGTGTGATAGCTGGCCTCTACATGTAAAACAATGATGAACAACATGAAAGTTGGCCTTAGAATCACAAGCCCTAAGAATGGTAACCTATGTATGCATCGCCATCTTCAGTTTGCTATTAATATTGCAATCAGTGCTAGCTGATGATGTTACCGTACCTAGTTTGGGTAAATGAACCGTCTGCAAGAAAACAACCAAGCTCACAGAGCATCAAGAACCCCTCATTTCAACCCTGTGCTACGAATATTCTCCTTTATTGACTTTGCGATGTGAACACAGATTTTAAAGCCATTTTATTCAAAACAACTACTGTACTGAGATTACCAAATATTACTGCATAATAGTCCTTATTCAATTTGCTATTTGTCAAGCATATATTTTAACAAGAACAGCTTGTCAGCTCTATATTAAAGTAGCATGACTGATTTCATACAAGATATAATTTTAATTGCAATGCTGTAGCATCATCAAAAAATTAGTAATAATGTGAGCTTTGCAGGAAGATTTTATCTCATTTTTCTAAGTCAATCCTAGAGTATGGTAGTCACAAATAAAGTTGATGACCTATTCCACAATAATTAACCATATGCCCCTAGAGAACTCACAGGAAGGTCATAAGGTTGATAACCTTAGACACAAAAACACATACACAGACTGATTGAATGTGAAAGTTAGTGTTGAGCACAAGTGATTGTTGGTGAAGAATATTGTACATGTTCTGTGAGTGTTGCAATAGTTGAGGAAAGTCTGGAAGCTCCTCATATCCCTTTTAAAGGACTGGTGTCGCAGAGCCTCATGATGATTACAGCAGATGAAAACATCCCGTTTTCTGGCTTAGGAGGAAGAAGTGCTCAACAGATGGTGACAACTCAGGAGCCAGAGGAGACAAAATGGCCCACCAGGCCCATCCAGCAACAGTCTGCTGTTTGGCCACAACTCGATTCAATTTATTATCTTCAATTTGTCTAGCAGCCCCATCTCTCATACATGACCCTTAGTGCTTAGCTACTTAGTGCTGGACTGGAGATGTTGCCAATCAGATGACAATTCAGTAGTCATGTGGTGGAAGCAGAGCTGGTGTTAGCCAGTTGGCAACAACGGCAGCAAATTTGGCTGCAAGTGATCCTCTTCTAGCAACACCATCCTCTGCTTGGTGGTCACGGTGACAGTTATTCGGGATGCCTGGTTTCAGGATTCCAAATTTCTCTGCAACTGGAAGGCTGGTAGCGACTGGCAGTGGGAACAGGATTGGGCCAATTATTGTGCTGGTAGACCAGCATGAACCCCTATGGTTGTTGTGGAGCTCCCATACTCTGGACAGCTATCAACTTCTCTCACGATAAAGCAGGATTCTGATTCTGCCATCTGTTCCAGCTGTGTCTACCAGCTGGGCTTATTCTAGAGGTCTTCAAACTTGGCAGCTTTAAGACTTGTGGACTTCAATTCCCAGGATTCTCCAGCCAGCTATGCTATGCTGTGCTATGCTATGCTGGCTGGAGAATTCTGGGAATTGAAGTTCACAAGTCTTAAAGCCGCCAAGTTTGGGGACCCCTGGCTTATTCAAAACGAAGCGTCTGCGAGGCCAAATGGATACGGCTGGCAGCTCCTCCAGCAACACCCGCGTCCTTTCCCTCACTCGCAATCGGGGCCGAGGACTACGTCACCCGCGTCCCGCCGAAGTGGGACAAGGGAACCCCGAAGAGGTTCAACAACCGGGCTCGGAGGCGGGGGGGGGGAGCGAGGCGGGGAGGAGAACAACCCGTCGCACTCGAATGACGGACGCGGGTTGAGCAGCATCTCTTGGCCGAGTCCGAAGAGGCGGAGCTTCGCCACCACGTGGACCGGCTTCCGGATGGCGTCTTGTGAGTTGCGTACGCCGTTGCGAAGAAGAGTTAAAGCCTAAGTGGGACCGCATTTGAACATTGTCGTTCCCCCCCCCCCCGCTTGGAGTTTTTTTTTCTCGCTCCTTTTCTCCTCGGACAGAATAAAAAGTGAGTTTATTGGATCGTACATTGAGTTTTATGGCAGTGTTGCAGCATTGGTTGGATACCCAGAACAGGGGTCTCCAAACTTGGCAACTTTAAGACTTGTGGACTTCATCTCCCAGAATTCCTCAGCCAGCTTTGCTGGCTGAGGAATTCTGGGAGATGAAGTCCATAAGTCTTAAAGTTGCCAAGTTTGGAGACTCCTGACCCAGAAGATGCTAAGGTCTGACTGGGGCCAGCATGGCTAATAACAGCCCCTGCCCGCCCTGCGGAACCTTCTTCCCCCCCCCCCCCCCACCCTCCTCTCTTTCCCCCAAACCCCCAAAACCCGGCGCTCCCCCCCCCCCCCCCCCCCCACCCCTGGCGATGGAGTAGGGTGGGTTGTGAATGAAGGGGCACTAGAGAAGTGTGACTGTGGCGCCAGGCTTTTCCGTTTTAATTTTCATTGCTGCTGGTTTTTATATAGTTAGAACAATTAATCAGTAGGACAACTTGCCTCCAGAAGTTGTAGCTGCTCCAGCACTGGAAGTTTTTAGAGAAGAGATTGGATAACTATTTTGTCTGACATTATATAGGGGTTCCTGCCTGAGCTGGGGGTTGGACTAGAAGACCTCCAAGGTCCCTTCCAGTTCTGTTGTTCTGTTTTATACTGTTTTATGGTTAACACGTTTTAAATAAATGTGAGAAGCTATATAAATAAATAGGCCTGTTCAATGACATTTAGTTTGGGGGTCAACTCTTGCCTTCCAACCCTTGGTGAATCTGTATACTGTATGTTATGGCCTGTTCTGTCTCTCATTTCACAGGAGCCCTTCATTCACTCTGCTTGTGAGTTGCCCCAGCGCTGTTGCTAAAGCCAGTCAGCAGGAAGAATGAGAGTTACCTTTTCTGGTCAACTTTGTATTATCCAGAAGGCCGATAAGATGCTAGGTTAACTTTGCCATCTGTTGTCAGCAAAGTACAGCAGCTTTGCAGAAATGAGACTATTGTACTATGTATATTCCCATGTCTATGTTATTTTTAAACCTTTGTGCTCCTCCCACAGAAGGGGGATAAACAAGGGTCAAAGAAGGGTAGGAGGGATGAGTAAGCCCTAACCACCCACTTGTGATATGCTGATTCTGAATTACTTTTTAAAGTCTCCCCCCCCCCCCCCCCCCCACACCTCTGATGGAGAGTAACACAAAGACATGATTGTTATTGGTGGATGGACCATCAACAAAAATGACTATTCACTATTTAACTAGTAATTGGAAAACATGCCATGAATATAGGGGAATGTCAGTCATGTGCCCAAATGACTTTATTGCATCTTAAAAGATGCAATGGTATCAATATGCTCTGCCCATATAGCCCATCTGTTTTCTTTCCTGAAGGTTTTTATTTTTCCTACAATTAATTAATTTAGGAAGTCTCTTTAGTTATGTTAGTGAATATAGTTAATACCAGCATTATTAAAGATGACAGGTCTAGCACTGTGATGGCGAACCTATGGCGCGCATGCCAGATATGGCATGCAGAGCTCTCTCTGTGGGTATGCACGCCATCGCCAGCTGCTCTTCCGGGTTCCGTCTCGCGCATGTGCACCGGAACCCGAAAGAGCAGCTGGCCGCCGCACACATGGTTAACCATCAGTGCTCCAGCACATTGCCCAGAGCTAGAAAAAAGGAATCTCATCATGCAGAAATAGGCATGTAGATAATATATTTGTAATAAAAATAGATAATATATTTGTAATAAAAAAGTAGATCACAACAAGCAGTTGATGAAAGATGTCTTGTTCTGAAAATATACCCTTCGATAATTCATTCAATAATGAATATACCAGAAATGATAATATCTTTCCAGCTAGTGAAATAGGTGTTATTTAAATAATTAACTTGAGTGTTTGACTAATTATTACAAAATTTCAAAATATTTACTTACTTTAGGTCATGGGCAAGAATAAGGTAAAAGGATTGAAGCAGGCCAATGTATTCCATATAGCCAATAAAAAAATACTAAAGGCTAAAAGTAAAGCAAAACCAGTGGCAACCAATCTAAAAAAGGTATGTACATTCTACCAGAAAAATATGATAAAAAGACTGCATATTTGATTCTGCATATATTAATGGCAACTAGAATTGTATTTGTGCAACAATGGAAAAGTGATAAGATCCCGTCTGAGGGGAATGTAATTTAAAAAATATTAGATTGCGCAGAAATGGATAGATTAATGTATGCTATTAAGGATAAAGAGTCGTTCAGTGGCTAAGACGCTGAGCTTGTCGATCAGAAAGGTTGCTGGTTCGAATCCCTAGTATAGGTCTCCTGTGTGAGCAGGGGTTCGGTCAAGATGACCTCCAAGGTCCCTTCCAACTCAGTTACTGTTACTGAGTATTTTTTGATATGGGACATATTTTATCAATGGCTAGATAACAGAAACAGAAGTTAGAAAGGAGGAGATATAAAGGGAGGAAATGGTATAGAGGAGAGTCGTTAAAGACGATGTTAAGTATTAAGGTTATATTATGTTATATTGTTAATACGGTGACTAAATATAATGAAGATGTATAAATGATTATCTAAACATAATTGCACCCAGAATACACACAATTTGATGAAAATTGAATGTTATATAAATAAAACAAAACATGAAAAAAGGGGAAAAAATAAAAACAGCAGCAGCACGAATAATTTTTGCACAAAATTGGAAGAGTAGTGACATACCAACAGAAGATAGAGTAATTAGCAAAATCATGGAATGTGCAGAAATGGACAGACTCACAAAGGAATTACAACATAGAGAGGAGCACGGTTACTATCTAGTATGGGAAAAGTGGTACACCTGGTTGGAAGATAGAAAAGGGGAAAAAAATTAGGAAGTAAATGGAGTAACCCAATACAGAAATAGGAACATAAACTACGAATACAGGTTAACAATGAACCAAAAAGATAGACATAAGAGAAAGACCAAACAATGAGGAGTCAAAAGCACAAATAAGAACATACAGTACAGTTGCGATAAACTTGATATATATTTGAATTTTTGTTTACATGTTTTGTATGTTTTGTTGTGATTTGTTTAGTTTGTATTTTCAAATAAAAAAAAAATAAGGTTGCTATAATGTTGAACCTGATAGTAGTTGGGAAAAACACTTTTTGTGTTGGGATTTCTTAGTCAAACTAATTGATAAGAGCATAGGCGACAGTTGTATACAAAACTATGCTATATTTATTTATGCAGTTTATAAAACCATCCAACTCAACCAGCGTTCGAAAAATTGTCCTGTGTTCTTGTCACAATTGTTAAACAATAGAACATGCAGAGAACCTACAGAATAAGCAGCCTAAATTATGAAGTATTATAGCAGCTTGACAATTTTAGTTTAGAAAAAATGCAAGGGAGACATGATAGAAATATTTGAGACCTTGGATAGAAGGTGGAACTTTGCACCTCCAAATGCCAGAATAGGGGATTAACTCAAGGTTGTTCACTGTTGGGAATTACAATGTGGGTAGAAATAAATCATCTTTCATATTTTAATGGAATTTATTATCAGAATATAGTTATGAATGCCAAGAGACCAAACTCATGAAGACAGCTATTTATTATCTCTAATGCCAGATACAGTATATTTCTCAGTACCAGTCCAAGCAAGAATGTGCTAATAAACATGTTCTCCTTTGCTTAGCAACTATTGAAATAGAATGTTCAACTAAATAGTGTGAGCTTTTTGAATGGATCTTAACAGGACCCATTTTTAAAGCAATATCAGTTCAGGACAGGATTAAACAATCTTGGCAGCTACATTTATTATGAAGGTGGAGCTGAAACACATTGGCAACTGGACAAAGGTTTTAGAGTAGTTTAGGGTTGTTGTTTTTTTGATAGTTTAATTGTAATCTGCATACTTTTAAGACTTACCTGTTTCCAAATTCCTAATGGTAGAAAATCATACCTTAGATTTTAGCAGTTGTGAGGCTTAAAAGAAAGGACATTGGGAAGATGCATAGGTTTGGTATATGCAATTAGGAATTCCTATTATGAAAGATTTATAATTGTGCTAAAATGTTTACACATTTAAAATTTCATTTTATTAAATGTACTGAACTCAGGATTATGACCAGCAAGTACAAACCTGTTTTCCCTCCATTCTTTTAAGCCTTTGGTAAATGATCAGTTTCCTCAGATTGCTTCTTTTTCGTATTGGCAATTAATACAAGTTTAATTGGTCAATAAAACAGTCTTTCCTAAAAATCAATGAGTTCCTAAAACTGATCAGTTTCCCTGCAACTGATATTCAGAGTCCCAGTCCCAGTTAATGTTTAGAGGAGCAATTGTGGAGTCGGTTTATCAGAAGTCGATATATGCATGCAACATGGGAATGCATATTTTGGATTTTAGTGGTCACACAGTAGCATGTGTAGCTACATAAGTATATATAATACATAAAGTATTATGGATTTGGTTTATTAATTCCTTTGGCTACTTAGGACTCTCTGTTTTAAAGATCAAATATATAACTGTTTCTGCTAAAGAAAACAACTAAAATGTTGTGGGAATGCTTATCTTGATGATTTGCTTCTTTCTATCAAAAACCTTTACAATGATTTATTGTACATTAATGAATATTAAACAGATTCATTAGAGTAGTTGTACTTTTGTGCTTCAGTTTCATCTTGATATAAAAAAGGCCAAATTGTTTTTTTTTCCCCAAAAAGATAAATATAGTGAATGATGAAAAAGTTCACAAGATAGATAAGGTATTTACAGAAATACAGAAAAATGTTAAACAGTTGTCCAAAACTGTTCCATCAGATTCTTCAAAGAAACTTCAGGTAAGTTTGTTCATATCGAAAAAAATTCTGATCCATGTATCTTTTTTGGGGGGAGGGACGGATGATTTAACCAAACATTGGTTGTTTAAACAGACCCTTTCTGATAAAAATAGCCAACACAGCAAAAGTGGCAGAAAGGAGTGATGTTTCTTGCCTTCATTTCCCCCCACCCCCAAAGTAAAATATTTTTGCAAACCAAATATATTATCTTACCTTTTGGAGAGATTCTGTGAATCTTCACACACTTCCTGATCCTATGTCTGAGAGTCAAGTGGATAGGGAGCAATTTGTGTAATATTTTTTGAGCTTTCTAATTTCTAGAAATTGGAAATTTGACCAATCATATTGTTCCTGGACATTGAGGTCCTGATAGATTACATTTTGTCTATGGTTTTGTCCACACCTTTGCTAAAATGTATATGTTGCACCTCAGAAAGTCATCTCAATTATTATTTAGGTAGGGGGAAGAAAGCATTCTGAAATATTCTCTAACCCTTAGGTTGATAAACAAATTTTCCCAACTGCAAAGATTTCCTGGTGCTCTTCTTATAATATTCACACAGTCTATTTTGCTTTAGCAATATTTTAAAATGTATTTCTGCAAACTGTAATGTCTCCCCATCCAACTCCCATCAATTGGTAATGAAGGGAGACATAAAAACCCCCACCAAACCTACCACATGCATTTCTGGAGTCTGAGCAGCAGCAGCCTAAAAAGCCTGAGTTTCTTCTTCTGAAATATCTTAAGCAAATGTTCTGACGATTGTATCTCTAATGAAAGCCCATATTAGCTGATGAAATCTTTAGCACGCAGAACATTTCAAGGTGCATGTGTTTCCCTTCAGATTCCAAAGTCTCAGGAAGACAAACCGGCTAACGTGGATGCTGCTGCGAACTTACTTTCTCAGTTGTAGCACAAAACAAGATAGCGATGTGAAAACTACATTCTTTTGGTATGTCACAAGCAATCTTTTGAATAATTTTTATTTTAAAAAAATCTTGTTAATATACAAGTATTGGTGTTCTTTAATATGAACTACAAATAGTGCTTTCCTTAATCTAGGAATGTGAGAAATAAAAGAAAAAAGACATTTAAAGTGCTAATAAAGAAGGCACTCCACAGAATGTTTTTGGGGTTTACCCGAGGGAACTGGGAGAGGAATAACCTAAGAAACCGTCCTTTACTTTACAAATGGCAGTGGAAGTTTGAAACATATGGCCAAAACTTCATAATGATTATAGGGAGTTCCTAAGAGACCAGATTTGCTAGCTCTAATGGAAGCAGAGAAGTAGAATTAAGAATTCTGCTTCCTAAAAAAATAAATGAAAAAAATAGGCATATAAGTAACTGTACTGAGATACTCTAACAGTTCTTTGAGTATCAACTCTGCATTTCATTACATTTCGAAACTGTTCACAATAACAGTTTAAAAAAATGTATGCCCAGCATTGGTCAGTCATGGAGTTTTGCATTCATTAATTTAAATACTCGGATTATAAAACTGCATCTACTGTATTACATAGTTAAGAGGTAGATAAGGAAATCTGGTTGCATCAAATCTAGTAGTTCAAGATCTGAACATCGAAGAGATCACAGACTCCTTCATTATCATCCAGGTTGAAGCTGTAGTCATCTCCAGGTGTTGGAGACAGCCGTAGCAGAGGAAAAACTGTAAAAGAGTATCTTAAGTTATGCTTAGTTAATATTCAGGCACAGTAAGCATCATTATATTGATTCACTGATATGTGTGAGTGGAAGTGGAGTATTACCCTGCTCCTTTCAGTCCCAGCACCACTAATATTACATTATCTAGTCCCAGGTTTTAAAATATGAACCTTACTCCTATTCTAAAATTTGGAAGATCTTATGCCACTAGCTCCTGGAATACTTATGTTGTTCATATGCATTCTATCAAGCTAATGTAACAAGTAATGAAACAGAGTTCACAGACCTGACAGACTTAAAAAATCCCACAAAATTCAGAGTATTTGGTTATTTATAAATGGTGAGAAATGACTCAGAAACCAAACAAGTTAAATACAATGTGACATTCTGGATGCAGAATGCAGATGTAATCATTGCTAGACAATAATGGGAAGAAAACATTAAATTAATATGTAAGATTATACTTAAAGAAAAACTAGTGTAAGATGTTTATCACTGGTATATTATTCTACTATCAAATGCATTTTTCCTTACTTCCTTTATGTATATCTTTTCCTTTTCTTAAAAATACTCAGTCAGTAAAGATCTTTTTTTTAAGCATAGTTCACAAATTTCCTGTGATTAATAAATACTGCTACTGAGTTGTTTTAATTCTAGTTTTTTAATTTTAAATTCAGACAAAACAAATGATTTTTCACAGTAAATAAATACCTTTACAATGCAGTTGTACTTATACAATGTACAAGTACATTATCTAATGTACAAGTAATAATTTAGCATATCTATTTCAATAGATACTTGGTAGTACAAGTATCTAATGAAATAGATATACTAAATTATTAAGCTGGTATTATCTATAGGCAGAATTTAAGAAACAAGTAAAAAGTAAAGGATGAGGCTGAAGTTTGGCGAGACCTCCAAAGGCTTATTTGTCTGCGACATGGATTTTTAGTTATTTCATATTAACTTCCAAACAAAAGCTTCATAATACAAAGCATTCTTGGCTTTCTATCTTTTCATAGGTTTTACCTGTTATTTTTTAAAAATGTGATTTTTATGCATAACCTTTGAAGTAATAGTAAGAATGGGATTTGGATATCTTTATAGTAAAAATGGTTTTCCTTTGTCTGTTTTTTAATTCCAGATACAGAATGGAATTCATAGTTTTCAACAGTGGAAGCAGTAGTCTAGCAATTGAAGAAATATTTCAAGATTTTTTTAAAAAATAATATTCATCCCTTTAGAGTCTATGCATCGCTAAGAGCCAAATTATTTATCAACAGAGAGCTGGATTTGGGACATTGGTCTATACTTACTAGTTGAAATTATAATTTAAAGTGAAATTGTGATTTAAACTCTTAAATCACTACTGTCTAATGTTATTGATAAAGTTTCCTGAGGACTTATTAAAAATGTAAGATAAAAGGATTTTGCACATTAAATATAATTACATTTCTTTGCTGTAGACAGATTCAATTTCTGACTTATTCAAAATTTTACATAATGGGTGGAAAAATAATAGGAAAAGAAATAAAAATATGTACTTTAACATTGAACTGAATTATCCTGCTTGAACAAGTGCCAGAGTAAATCCCTTACTTTAGTTTGACCCAGAATATGGATTTACTGTTTAAATTTGGGCAATATGAAAATTTTGACTTGGATTTTGACTATGTTAAAAGTAACAGCTGTTTTCATTTTCACCTTCCTCCAAAATACAGTTTGGTATTTAAAAAATAAAAACGGGTATAGCAATAGCACTTAGACTTTATACTGCTTTAGTCTTTAGTGCCCTCTCTAAGCTGTTTACAGAGTCAGCATATTGCTCCCAACAATCTGGGTCCTCATTTTACCAACTTCGGAAGGATGGAAGGCTGAGTCAATCTTGAGCCACTCAGGGTCGAAGTCCTGGAGTGAGCAGTGAGTTAGCCTGCAGTGCTGCATTCTAACCACTGCACTACCATGGCTCGGTGTATCTTAATACTGCTGTAATAGTACCATTTCATCTATTAAATTATTCAATTTGAACCATAGGTTTGAATGAGGCAGTCTTCCATAAGTTAAAGGGAGACTTTTTTCAGCAGTAGTATTTTGACCAAGGGGAGTTATCTTGCTAGATAATAAGAGTCTTTACCATATTCTCCTTTCTCTTAGAATTCCCCATGGCCCACCCCCCACCCCCAATCAAGAACTGAAAAAAAAATGGAAGATTGCCTTGAAAAGGGAGAAAATTGGTTCCAAGGACTATAAAAGAAGAAAGAAACTGGCCAAAGTTGCTTGCCTCCTGTTTTCACCAGGAGTATTCTGTGTAAAAATCAACTATCAGTAGTTCTCAACTTACAACCACAATTGAGCCTGGAATTGTGGTTATGAGTTGTGGTGGTTAAGCAAGGCACCCATGTAATTGCCTTGCTCAACAATCTCACCACTGCAGTTGTTAAGCAGAATGTGGGTGCCTAAAGGTGGAGGACAGCAAAGTTCCAGGAGCCCATTGCAGCTTCCCCCCAAATCACATCTGCCTATGCTGAGCCTTTTGGTGCCTTCCCCAGCTTCTGAGGCACCCCATGCACAGCTTCTCACCCAGCTGGATCTCCACAGGCAATAGGCCTGCTTTCCATCCCACTGGGTCCTATAGCATTGGGCCTCCTCCCTGGCTTGAGAAGAAAATCACACCCTTTAAAGAAATTGGAAGAATGGCGATAGTTTCCAGAATGATGTAAGGCAGCTTCTGCAGGAAGGTTTCGCATTGCATTGTCTAGGTGCTCTTAGGAAGTCAATCTTCAGAACAGGTAGAACAGTAGACCAAGGCATGACAAGGCAAGGAGGAGGCCTAAGGTGGAACATCCTAAGCCTCAGATTTATTTGAAGTATAAATAACGTTTTAAATACAAATACTAGCTTTCCACAGGTATTGTTTTGCTTGTTAACTTTAGTCACACATATCAACATGCAAGTGGTACTGCATGAAATTCAATGCAATGGATGTACTGTCAAAGTGATAAATGGTTTTCTGTAAGAAGATGAGCTGGCTATAGCCTGGCTGGCTTCAAAAAAGATTGGGCTAATTCATGAAAGTCATGAACATCAGAGACTATTAGCCTTGATGGAAGTGTGATTGCTTCTGAAAGCTGCTTGCTGGAAGACTAGTGGGCTTCCATTTACAGTTAATTGTCCACTGTGAGAAAAGACTGCTGGACTAGATGGAGCAGGGGTTTGCTTCAGCAGGAAGCTGCTGAGGTTGTTTTAAAAAAGATAACTTAAGTCTTCATGGATCTAGGAACAATGGCTACTAATGGCCTTCAGCATAGTATTTCTATGTCTACTGCTGAGAAGTGTGCTACTAATTCACTCCCTGTTAATGACCTACAGCAGATTGGTTGGACTATAGGTGCTTCCTCACAAATGTCAGGACATTATTTTTAATGGAAGTAATAAATATAGATGCCACTAGTTAAGTGGAAAATTCAGCCCAAATCTTTTTACACCAATGAATGAAATTCTGATTTTTACTGGTGTACATCTATCCAAAAATGGAATCATGCACTAACACTTGTGCAAACTTGTAAAGTGTAATTTTACATCTTCACATCAAATTCTATAATATAAGAAACTTACCATCGGAGGACATCAGTTCATCAATGATATCACTGTTAATAACACCTGTTGACAAAGGGAAATTCACAACTATTCATATGCAGAAATGGCAAACCAAAATGCCTAAGCAAAATCAAAATACCTCATTTAACCTCCCCTAATTTTTACTGTAATGCCAAAAAAGTGAAAACATAAAATAGTATACTGAGCCCGACAAATCTAAATGACATTTTACATTTTATTTTATTAAAACATTTTATTAAACAAACTAATTAACCTTCAAACCTCCACAAAGCATTTTTCACCCTCAAAAAGATAACCTGCCTCAGCATATGGGATATGAATTTAGATAATGAATCAAAGAAAGTTACAAGATTATGATCTATTTTTAGTGAAATATAGTACCCAGGTATTCTAGCTTCAATTAATTTCTTCAAAACTTTCTTTTGGACTTCTAATATTTCATATAAGCTGCTCTTGGTGAAATGAACACAAAGCTGTGCCACACCCAATACTATGATCTCAAGTTACAAGGATCAGGAAAAAAAAAAATTAACCACATGGCAGTTATGAAGAACGCACTAGGAAAAACTAAGCCCTTGGCCAGCAACCAGAAGCATCAACTAGGAGACAGTCAAAAAGTGCTTTAGATCATTTTCATAAAGCACACAGAGTTTGACAAGTACTATATCAAAAATGTGTCAGAGATATTGGCAATCCTTATAATCTTATAAATGTTTTCAAAAATTGTGGGCATAACGTGTGCAATAAGAGCCCTGGTAGCGCAGCAGACTAAAGCATACTAAAGCACTGTTATTAATATCAGCTGCCTGCAATTACTGCAAGTTCAAATCTCACTAGGCTCAAGGTTGACTCAGCCTTCCATCCTTTCTAAGGTAGGTAAAATGAGGACCCAGATTGTGGGGGCAATAAGGTGACTTTGTATAAAATATACAAAAGTATGAAGGCTATTGCTTAACGCATTGTAAGCCGCCCTGAACGTTCGGAGAAGGGTGGCATATAAATCAAATTTTTAAAGAAAGTGATATAATTTTTTTAATGTCACTTTTTATCCCAACAAATGGTATTAAGATTATTTAGAATACTGCATTCTCTTCATGCTATATCCGCTAAGATACAAAAATAACCTAAAATAGGAAGGTCTCAATCTTAGCCACAATCTTCTCTTTCTCTGTACTTCCCTTTCCAAAGATTTATCTATGAAACATAATTAAAGATTTGGAGAGAAGCGGAAAACAGGATGTTGCTGAAATGAACAGATAGAAGTTCTTCCATTTTATTGCTTCCAGGATGAGGGCAAGCATTTGCGTATTGTATCTGGACCACTACAATAGCTGTTAGCAAATCTGGGTATCTCTGTAATGTCATAAAGGAAAAGCTGGTCAAGCAGATATTGGCAGTAAGAATTATCCTTCAATGTAATATATTGCACTGTAGTTGCAAGAAATTGGCTATATTATCCTCAGTCTAGTCACCCATGGACTTTTGGCTCAGTACCATATGCAGTGATTATAAAATAGCTACAGATGAAAAGGCTTGATCCCAGAACTAAAGTCAATTGTAAGACTTCTAATTTATTTTTTTAAAATAAAGCAGCTAAGCATTTTTACCAAACAAGAAAAGTACAATTCTTTTCAAGTTTTGGATTTCTGATAATACTTCCCAATTAACATTAAATGATTTGATTGATTTAGTTTGATTTAGTGATTAAGGCACCAGACTAGAAACGAGGAGACAAGCGTTCTAGTGCCACTTTAGACATGAAAACTAGCTGAATGATCTTGGGTTAGTCACTCTTTTTCAGCCCAACCTATTTCACAGGGCTATTGTGGGAGAAAATAGGAGGAAGAAGGAATATTAGGTATGTTTGCCGCCATGAGTTATTTATAAACAATAAAGAAAGGTTTTTAAAAAATCAAATAAATAAACATAAGATGATCTTTACCTCCAGGTTCATCCATCTTTGCTATGTCAAATGTGTTCGACTTTAGAATACTATTGACATCCAGTGGAAGGAAAGAAGAAGGGAGGATTGTTGAGCTAGGCGTGGTTTCGGTTACAAGGCTATCATACAACTCAGAATCTGGAATACTGGCACACAGTGCTTCAGGAGTTGAGCTTCCTTGTAAAGTGATATCTAGAGTAGTGGAAATTTTTCAAGTTAAAATCCAACATGATAGTTCAGTGCAATAAACAAATATTGAAAAAGAACACAAGTTGACAACTTCTATTTTATTAATCTATATGGCCGCCCATCTCAAGGAAAGCTATTCTGGAAGATGTACAACAATCCAATAAAATAATATCTCAACAGTTTATGAAATCCTGCAAAATTTCAACATAATATGCTCCCATATTATTTCAGTCAAAAACTAAAATCCCGCCAAATTTGACATTTTTGCAAGATGTGGAGTGTTGTTTAAATTTTCATATATTTTTTGGTGATCTATGCCACCTCATAATTACTAGTATCAGCATAAGAAGACACAATTAGAGATAAGAAGCAATTTTTTTCACACCAGCTAGTACATAAGTAACTAGTTAGCTAATTGCACTACCTAGTTCAAAATGTTTGTTTCTTTGTTTTCCACCTTTATTGTTTTATAAATAACTCAAGGCAGAGAACATGCTGAGTATCACAAGCTTTTTATTTATACAGCCCCATTTTTTTGTTTTCTTGATGATGGACAACAATCAAATTATGTTTCCAGTTAGCTATTTTTCACATTTTGTCCAGAACAAGTTGGAATTTTAAAACAAATTTGAAAGGCTGGTTTAAAATCATGAATTCTAAAGTTGGAAATTAGTATCTCAGCTTGGGTAGAATGCAAAGCGATGGATAATTAGGAA